ATAGTCTATAAAATCATAACTAAAAAGTCTTTTTAAAAATTATAGTTAAAATGTCATTTTGAAAAATCATAATAAAACTATGAAAATTTTAAATGAAGAAACAGGTCGTTTATTTCATTAATAATATGTTTTGAAAAATAAATTTTATAGAATAAAAATTAATATTTTTTAGTAAAAAAATCAGACATTGATTTTTTTAATATTTAGATGATATTGTGTAAATTATTTTCCTCAAACTTTTGAACATTTTAATTTCATCCCTAAACTATACTATTTCATTCTAAATTAGTCCTTAAACATTTTTAACATTTCAATTTCATCCCAAATTATATGTATATACTAATCACATTCTACGCTAATAAAATCATTAGACCAAACTATATTATTATATGTTTTAAAAAATATGTTTAGGTTAAACCACGGTTATAACTAATTACATATTTGGATGGAATTAGGGATAAAATTGAAAGATTTAAAAGTTGGAGGACCAATTTAGAATGGGAGTCATAGTTTGAGGATGAAATTGGAATTTTTAAAATTTAGTATTAATTTAGAATGAGAATCATAGTTTGAGGATGAAATTGAAATATTCAAAAGTTTACAGACTAATAGAATAAGAATCATAATTTAGAAACATATAATGTACTTAATTCTTAAAAGAATTAACTTGTAAGGTCCATTTGTTTCACGGTAAACAGATTCCGAAAAATGAATTCTGTAAAATGAATTATTTTTTCTGAAAAATATTTTATGTTTTGATTATGTTGTGTAATTCATTTTCAATTGGTTGGTATTTTTTTAAAATTCTTTACTATAAACATCAAATACAATAAATAATATTATTTATTAACAAAATAATATTTATTATTTTTCAAATATTAGACTAATTTATCTAATATTATTTATGTCAATATTATTATTAAAATATTACATCTACAATTTTAAATAAAAATACTAATATTATTATATTTTATTAAAATAAAAATATTATAATTATATTAAATATTTATTAAAATAAAAATAATATATTATTAAGTATATTAATTACTTATTAAAATAATAATATTATTAAAATATTAAAATAAAAATATTATATTATATTTTAAAAAGTATATTTTTAAATATTTAACAATTCAATAATATTATTTTTATGAAATTAAAAATAATATTAGTTGTATTAATAATTTATTGTATATTACTAAAATAAAAATATTATATTATATTATAAAAATTGTCAATAAATATAATTTAATAATTAATATTTTTATTAAAATGATACTAAAATAATATATTAATATTAAATATATAAAATAATAATATTTTGAGTGTTTGTGTTTTAAAGTAAAAAGTTCGTAAAATGACCAACATAAAATCGAACCGTAAGCCATTTTTTAGAAAATAAAAAGGAAATTCAGTTGACTAGGAAATAAGTTACATTGACCATCTGTTTCCCGCCAACTAAACATTGAAGAATGAGAAAAATGTTTTCTTGAAAACCAATTACGGAAACAAACAGATCGGGAATTGTATAAATAGGTGTTGATATACTAGCACAAACCAACTTACCTCACTGGTTAAAGGAATCGTTGTTGTTCTTAGAAGTCACAGGCTTGAGCTGTAGAGGGATGATTGAGCGTTCATTGTCAAATAATTGAAAGTATTTAAAATATATGCTATTTTGTAATCACCCTAACTTAATAAAATAATAATAAGTCGATATACTAAGAAAACTAAAAAAATTTATGAATGGTAAAAGAAACAAAAAGAATGCCAAGTTAGCTCATAGTAGACGCATAAATAAAATGGTAAATTATGTATTTAGTACTTAAATCATTAGTTTCAGTATATTTTAGTACCTAAATTTTTAATTTTTCAAAACTATACCTTAAGTTTAGTTTTTTTTTTATTTTAGTACCTCGTAGTTAAAAACTTTAGTTTTTGTTTCATTTTAGTACCCCATTCAAAATTTAACGTTAAGTTTTGGAAAAAAAATGAAAGTTTATGTACTAAAATGGACCAAAACTGATAGTTCAGGTACCAAACGAAATAAGTTTTTAACAGTGGGTACTAAAATGAAATGAAAACTAAATGTTAGGTATGATTTTAAAAAATGTTTAGACACTAAAGTGGATCAAAACTAATAGTTTAGGTACTGCATACGTAATTTACCCTAAATAAAATTGTTTTACAACTGCTGTTTTCTATGGTTATGGACTTGAATTTAACATAAAAGTAATTAAAAAAAATAAAATCTGTAACAGAGTAAGATTATTGACTAATGTTTGAGACTCTCACAACTATGGCTATGCCACCATTACTCATCGCTTCTCCATTACCACCGCCGTGGCACAAGAGCGGTACTCTGCCTACTCAGCTTGTCGTCCAGGTTAGCCGATCACCGTGGAAGGTTGTTTCGCGTGATAAAACGGTGTAGATCAACTAAATTTACACACCATATCAGTATTCTGTTACCTCCAACAGTGATTCTTAAAGACAAATAAACGATCGATTTATTATAAAGGTTAAAGGGTTATTTTTGTCTCTGTTTAGTTCCATTTATCATTTTCGTTTATATGATTTTTTTTGTATCAGTTTAGCCTTTGAAATTGTTTAGAGATATCATCTTATCTCTCGAAGTCCATTTTAACTAATAGAATCATTAGTCAACTGCGACTACGATTGTTCTAAGTCAACTGTCAATCCAACATATTTTATTTAGTTAGAAACATTAAACAAACTCAAAGTAGGCAAGTATTATATTCAAAATCGTTTATTTATCTTAATAAATCAATTCTATATAAATAATTCACGAAAAGTTCATCAAATAATGTGTTTATTTACACCTCTATGCTTTAAGTAGAAGATATATATAGAGAGAGAGTTTGTTTACAGGTGAAGTCTCACGTGCGACAGCCTATATACGGCTAAGAAAATACGTTACCGGAAATGTTATTATTTTTTTAACATTTTCGATAAAAAATTATCTAAAATATTATTATTTTTACAGGAAATGTTATGATTGGACTCTTTAACAACTTTGGTAATATATCTGGTAGAAAAAAAATAATATTTTAGGTAGCGTTTTACCATATATATTACCAAACCCGATAAAATACTCAATAATAACATTTTTTGTATAAATAATAATGTTTTAGATAATTTTTTATTAAAAATATTAAAATATAATAATATTTTTAATAATACATTTCTTTAATCGTATTTGAGGCTGTCGTACGATATAACTTCCCTTGTTTGCAAAGAAATTTTAAGGTTGATGCTTCCTTTTGCCAGAAAAGTGTTTTGTAATATGGTCTGCACCTGCTGCAGAGTGTTGCCTAAATTCCTCCATGCATCATAGGATTAATAATAAAATAAGTGTTCAAATTATAACCTCTTTTCACGAATAGAAGTTTTATTTTTTTAATGATTTTAGTGACTACTGCTATAAACGTTATCACTTTAGGTATTTAAACCATCAACGGTGTTAATTCCTCTATTAAATGGCAAGTATCACAATCTGATAATTTTGAAGTTTATTTATTTAAAAAAATATTCTTATATTTATAAAAAATCATAATTTCTCTTAAATTATAAAACAATCCCTAAAATCCTTAAATCCTAACCCTAACCCTCCATCTTCACCTTTTTCAGCCACAACCACAATTATCGACATAGTATCTGTCATTATCTTAGTCATACGTTGTTGTAGTTGTTGCCAATTGACGTCGAAATCATTTGAGATCACGATTTTCATCTTAGGGCTCGCATGGTATAAAACATCGACTCGCCGTCGATTGGTCACGGTTTCATAAGGATTTTGGTCATCGAGGGGAAGTGAGGTCGGGTGAAGCTTCGTCGATGGTGAAAGGCGGTGGCTAACGTGGGTTTAGGGGTTGAAATGAAGGTTTTCAAAATTTTGGTGTTATTTCAAAATTTCTATATTTTTAAATATAAATTTAATTTTTTTAACTTTATATAAAATTTTCAAATTATCAGAACATGACATATGTCGTTTAACGGAGGAAATTAAAGCCGTCGACTACCCAAACATTTAAAGTGGTAACATGATAACTTTGGACACCAAAATCATTCCAAAAAATAGTTTAGATATGTATTCGTGAAAAACGCTTGGGCACTTATTTTATAATTGAGTCTAGACCATAGTTCATAGTACTTAGCCCATTTTTGGTAGAACTATCATTTTACCTTTCATACTTTGAAAGTTTTACAATTTAGTATAAATCTCTAATTTAATTTTTCTTCACTAGATACGAATTTATCATATTTCAAAGTCTAATAGTATCATTAAAATAGTATTAGACTCAATATTGTATATTAATAATATTATAATCACCTAGTTTCAACGTAGCGTTTGTTTATAAAAAAAAGTAAATTACAAATTTGATAATTAAACTTTATTATTCCTCCTATTTCACTCATCGTACTTTAAACTTTTTCAATTTCCTCAATAAATTTATTACATTGGATTTTTTTTATCACTAACGACATTATAAATGAACTTTTATATAGATGCAAAATGATATCATTTTGACGAAAATTTTATTTTTTAAAACTAAGTCGTTTTAACGTCGTTAATTATTTTGATGGTTAAGTGACTGAAAAAATTTAATGTATTAATTTCAATGAGAAAATTAAAAACTTTTAACGTTCGGTGAACAAAATAGAAGAGAGAGTAAAGTTCAAAGAAATTTACGCTAAAAATTTTAATCTATTAACAATTATATACATATCTTGTAAACACAATTATTCGAATCAATATCCTTTAAAAATAAGAACATTCTATTTTAGTAATGATTCCACTCGATATGTTTTATATTTAAAACTCAAAATACAGATTTCCGATTCTTTTTTACAGCATCGTTCTTACTCTAGAAACTTACACGCACTCTACACAATACATCATGAGAGGATTACTCTACCAAGCTCCCGGAAACAAGGAGGTGACGGTAGAGGCTCAGAGCAACTCGGTTCCATATACAAACTACCAACCATATTATTATTATGAATCAAAGAAACTTTTTTTTTCTATTGTAAAAGCTCTTAACGTAATCTAAAGGTTCTCAAAACCTGATGATGATGATGATGATGATGATGATGGGTGCCCATTGTTTCCCTCTCCTCGTCCTCTCTCTTCCTCTTGGGTATAGCTAAAGAAGACACTGCTTTTGCTGCTAAAACCTTCTTCACGAGCACCTTCCACTTTGCATCATCGTCCATTTTCTGCCGATGTGCTTTCACTTTGAATTGCCTGTCAACAACACAACATTGTTTTCATGTTTTGTCGGGCAAATGAAAATAAAAGATGGGGGCCTCCTCTTAGGACCCACCACTAGGCTGATGTTTTTATAAAGGCAAAAGGGGTTTGCAGTAGATTTTATTTATTATTTTTGTTTTTATTTTATTTTTACGTAAAATTAATCTTAAAATTATTTAATTGTATCATTTTATATCATAATATTAATTTAAATCTCTAAATTCTAAATCTTAAATTGTAACCCATAACCTTTTAACTTCTAAACTATAAACCCTAAACATTAATAAATATTTTCAACATTAAAGCAATTAAATAATTCTAATGATTAAATTAATACGAAAATACGATGTAAAAGAAAATGATAAATTAAATTTATTAAGGATGAGAGTGATCCTAGATGGGGACTTTTAGGACCCACCAGTAGGCGGATATTTTTTTGTTATTAGAGCATGAGATGGATGAAGGTGGCACTTGGCAGCAACCCTTTTGTTGTTATTTATTTTGGGGACAAGTAAAAATCTCCATGACTCTTTATCTTGTGTTAGATTGATTACCAAAAATATCTAAAGAAGACGATAAAAAAAGAACAATTTCATGGCGGATGGAAGTTGCCAAGACAAGCACGAAACTCGAATGAGAGAACTTCAAACCCTAACCCGAAAAGTAGAATCCTAAAAGTTGCCCAGTTCTTATCCTATCTAAATTAATTGAACCTGCTAACTACCAAATAGCAATAAAAAAATACATGTATTTAGGACATTCATAGGCAGTTCAATTACTCCATCCAAAGACAAATGACATTATCAACAAAATAGTGGGTAAATTATAAATTTTACCATTTCACTTTCTTTTCACTCTTATTTTAGTCATTAAAATTAAAAAAAAAGGCGTTCACTTAAATTTTTATTTATTCTTATTTTAGTCACTCCATCACTAAATACTTAATGATGGGGCATATCCTTCTAAATTTCAATGGCGGGGAGGTGTGAAAGTAAGTGAATTGTATATCTTGAATTCAAACTGGTTAAAGGGTGAAAATTATAGATTAGAGTGGTATTGGATTTCACGAGTTCTATGTTTTGGGTTGAATTTCACAAATTTTAAAGTGAGATAAAATAGAAAAGGAGAAGTGATCTGGATGATAGGTGAATGTCATGTCTTTAATTTTTTTAATAACCAAACTAAGAAAAAAGAGAATTGATTGATGAAATTTATAATTTAGTCTAAAATAAAAATAGTTGGTTTTTAATGTTTACCTGCAAAGTGGAACCCTGCAAGAATCTGGGTGATCACAAATGGAGGAATGGAGTCGAAGAAGCTGCCACATTCGCTTGCAGCGAGAGCACCCTCCACCGTTGACCCTTCTCTTGCACAAAGCGAAATGCTTTATCAACAGCTGAACCCCGTGGCACGTCGCGTACTTGTTGCAGGGACCCGGTTTCTTAGCTGGTTTCACGTCGTACGGTCCCACGGTGGTGCACCCTTCCGTGCATATGTGCTGCAAACACTCCATTGCCTCGCTTAGCTGTAAATACAAGCTCTGTGCTTCCCTGTGCCGCCTTATTCTCTTCTTTCTCTGCAACATTATATCGAACACTCAGAACCCAATTTTACAAATAACAAAATCATTAACGTTAGCTGATTTTTTATTTTTATTTACCGTTTCAGCTTCATCGATGAACTGAAGAATCTGGAGCTCGAGCCAGGGATCATGATCCTGCATGAAACTCCAACCTTCGGTTTGCTCGACAGATTTGAAATGGGCGGCGATGTATTTCATGCACTTGAGGTAAAGATCGGGAGCGTCGCAGAGCCTGGCGAGTTGGAGGACGTCCACCGCATTCTCCGCCGTCAGCCGTTGACTGACTCCCCTGCTGCACCGCTGCTTAAGCGGCGGGACTGAGTAAACATGCGACAACGCTAGCAGATGAATCCCATACTTCGCCAGTTGCTCTTCATCGCACCTATTGCAAAACCATTTACCTCAATTCAACTCCGGCACTAAAACCAAAACCCAAAAAAAAATCTGAAACGTAAACGAAACCGCATCCTCAAAATTTGGAGAAACATTACCAACACGATTAGCCACGTGGCACTTTCTTAAAACTCATATGTATAATAATAATATATGATGATAAACGCCGTATAATTTTACTAATCAGAGTCAGTGGTGGATTATCGATCGTCATATCACGTGGAAAACAAGGAAGAAATGAACGGCGGAGATCATTCAGAAAAACAAAGACCGTGGAAAATCGAAAGGCTTATTATACAAATTTCTGCCCAAATCGGTACCTAAACTTTTATTTGTCTCAATATAGTACCTAAACAAAGATTCTAAACTTTAATTAGGTATCAATTTAGGAAAAATTTTGTCAAATTCATACACCAATTTGTATAATAAGTCAAATCAAAATGCTTCAAGTTAAAGCCTCCAACCTGGAAGAGTAGAGGTATTCAACAAAAGCAGAAACGGCGTCGCATGGAACACCGAGAATCGGGATGACTCGTTCGGAGCTCCGGTGCTTACGTGGCCTCTCGATTATATTTTCCAGCACCGGCGACGCCATTGCCTTTTTTTATAAAAGAAGAAGAAGAGAAATCAGATCCGAGCAAAACGAAGAAGAAGAAAAATTTTGAAATCTAAAACGCTGAGCTGAGAGAGGATTACCAATATGCCGGTGTGAGCGGGGATGCGGAGGCCACCGGAGGTAAGGATGTGGACATCGGGCTCCGGTAAGTGAGATGCGGAGGAAACGGCGGAGATGACGGCGGAGGAAGCTGAGCTGTAATTGTTGTGTTCCATTGAAAGAGGAATTGAAGAAAGTTGCGCTGGCTATGTCTTAACAGAGGTTGTTGCCAATGACGGGTGGGACTCGAAATTTATAGAAAATGAGCTAGAAAAGCAAAGAGATGAACAATCCGACGTGTCATCATGCGTGAAGAAAATATTATTATGCGGAATGTTCCCACGCGCTTCATGATTTTACTTTTTAAATGTAATTTTAAAGATTAATTTACATATTATTTATAATAATATTATATTAAATAAAAATACTTTAATTACCTTTTTCAGCTTTAATTACTGACTAATAAAAAATATAAGCCCTAAAGCTTAATTTGAATTCAATGTATAGATTTAACAGGTATTAATCATTTGACAATAAATATTTTTTTTGCAAGTGTCATGTTCGAACATATGACCTTTAAGAATAACAATCATCTTTTTAATAAGTGAGGTGGCTTGATTCGTGTATGATTTATTTGGAGATTTTGTTGATAATATAAATAGACGAGTTATTTAAATATTTATAATTTCTTTCATTGATTTATTAAAATCATGTTTGATGTGACTTTTCAAACGCACTTTCAGTTAAAATGTTTTAACTGTAAAATTAATGTTAAACAGGTAAAAAATTAGAAAAAAATTACTGTAGAAACAGTGGTTTCAAACCAACCGTAAAAGCGAAGATTTATAGTTTTTTTACTTTTAACTTTGTGCTTGGGAGAAAATTATAATTTTACTCTTATTAATGCATATGCTCCGCTCAATTATGTATTTACATTTTATTTTAATAATTTAATATTAACATCTTTAAAATAATTTATAACTTAATAATTTATTTTAATTATTTAAAATTAAATAAAATTCATGGTTTATAATTTTATATATATTGAAATATTAATAGTGAGTTATACAATATATTATTTAAATTAGTTATCTTAAAATATTTTCTATATTTTTAAAATAGTTTAAGTGATATATTTTATATATCATAGTATTAATAAGTGTAAATATAATTTAAATTTTATATTTTTAGTTTACAATATAATGTCTATAATAAACATTTTATATTTTTAAACTCACTTTTTAACAACAATCACAAACAATTAATTTTTAAATTGTACTTTTAAATATCACTTTTAAAAGTTCTTTTGTACAATACTTTTAAAAGTTATTTTCTACGGAACTTTTAAAAGACACTTTCTAAAATTCCTGCTAAACTAACCCCGAAACAAATGTCCATTCATGCAGAGCAAGTAAATTTGGTCGGGTGGCCATTTTTTTTTATCTTTGTTCTATTATATTCCTTTAAATTATGAGTTTTAGAAATACTAAGAGCACTCTTATTCTTTCCCTAGAGTCTTATGTCTCCCTCCACCCTATATAGTGTTAGGATTATATTTAAAATTTATCAAAAAAAATATATATTTATGCAGTGTTATTACTTGTTAGTGTCATAATCTATCTAATTCATGTTTACATTAGTGTTAAATATGTAATTTATACATATTTTTAGAGTTTTATTCTTATAAAATTTAGGGTAAATTATGCATTTAATACATAAATTATCAGTTTTAGCCCGTTTGCATATATGAACTTTCAATTTTTTTAAAATCATACATAATGTTTAGTTTTAATTTCATTTTAGTATTATGTCGTTTAAAACTCAACTTGTTTAGTACCTAAACTATCATTTTTTGTTTGTTTTAATACCTAAACTTAAAAAAATAAACATTTAACGTTAAATTTTGAACGGGGGTGTTAAAATGAAACAAAAACTACAAAATGTTTTGATAACGTGTACTAAAATGAAACAAAAACTAAACTTCAAGTATGATTTTAAAAAAATATGAAAGTTTATATACTAAAACAGACCAAATTAATAATTTAGGTACTAAACACATAATTCACCCTAATTTTTATTAAAATATTTTAAACAATAAAATATACATACACAATCATTTTTGTGTATCTATCATATCTTTCTTCTTCTAATTGGTGTTACTCTTTTGAAAATAATTTTATTATAAAAAGAAGTATTGTTTGAGTTTTATCCTTTTTTTAAATGTATATATATAAAAAAATTGTGTTAATTTTAAAAACAATGTTCATTTTATGAATAGATATGTTAAAAAATTGATGATAATTTAAGCCAGACGTTAACATTTTAACATGTATGATAAAATATGATCCTACAATCTCAAACGATTATCAAATCTCAGTCAACAAGTTAATGTTAAACTCAAATTGTCATTAATTTTTTTTAAATGATGAATTTGGAACACAATGAATTTTCCGATAACTATTTTGTAACTTTTAATAGTCGAGGGACTCAACAAAGCAATATCTTATAATTGAGAGATCATTTTATAACTTTTAATAGTTTAAGGACCCAATAAAGTAGTATTCTATAGTTGAGGGAACATATGTGTACTTTACCCTAAAAATAAATATCTAACTTTTACCGTACGACTTTTCTAAGCCAACTTGGCAAAGGATAAAACGACACCGAAGGGACAGGTAATTCTAAAAGAGCCGGTTTTGTAATAAGATGGCTTTTGGTGAGCCGAGGAGTCCAAGTCAATTTGACGTGGCACTCGTTGTAATCCAATCACTTGATCTTCCACGTGTCAATAACGCACCGGTTAAGCATATATACTACAAATGACGTGTTAGAATAAGGTCCAATGGTTTTAATAACCAATAAAAAATAAACACGTGTTGATCCAAGGTTGATTGGAAACCGACACCGTTTTTGTAAAAAAATTGAGCAAGCTACGGTGGTCCGCCGCGCTTGCAGATAATAATGCCTCTAATGGGTATTGTTGAACTTATATTATTACCAAATTTGATTAATGAATTAAGATTTGTTTATTTATCGTCGAAGGATATACTGGTAATATTACTTTAAATTAATATTTGAATAATAAAATTTATTGAATATTTATTTATGATTTATTAGATTTTAGTTTACTAGTGATATAACCGGAAGACTTAAAATATTATGTATAAAAATTAAGAGAAAATGATCTTTTGGGAAAATTATGGTAATTGTCAATGACTTTGGGCTAGTTTTTGGGTCAAAATGGAAAATATTAAAGTTACATAGATTAAATTAAGGGGGAAAAAATATGAACACAAGTTATGCCCTAGGGTTAGGATCCACTTACACAGTGTAAAACTCTTTAGTTTTACACAAATTTAGGACCGTTGGATGAGTAAAAATAAATTACTGAGATCGACTCATTGTTTTTTTTTCTAGTAAATATCTTCACGTTTCCTATTTTTTTATCTCAACTATTTGTTTTCACTCATCCAACTGTCCTAAATTTGTGTAAAACTAAAAGAGTTTTACATTGTGTAATATATATATATGCTCACCAAATAAGTTACATAGATTAATATTGCACGAACCAAATTACTTTCACGGTTAAAGAAATGGTTGTTATTCTCAGAATTTTCGGGCTCGAGCACCAACAACTATAGCATGAGTGACTGAACGTTCATAGTCAAGTAGTTAAGAGTATTTAAAATATATAATACTTTGTAATCATATTAGCTTAACAAAAGAAACCAATAATTAAATAATATGAGATTTTGTGGTGCAAAGATACAAAACACCCTTATAATTTACTTAATATACAAAGATGAAACTATCATATTTTAATTGTGTTAGCTTTAAATAAATTTTCAATAATTTTTTAAAAGGATTTATACTAATTTTTTTTAAAATGAACATTTTTTATTTAATTAATATGATTTTTTTAATTTAATTCGACTTAATTAAATAATCACCTCTAATAGTTATAATACTTTACCATAAACATGCACCTTTTAATTTATAAACATTTCCATTTGGAAATACGGATGGGCATAGGTCGAGTTGAGTCGGATTTTTGATTAACTCGATTTGACTTAAAAATTATACATCATTCATCCGACTTGACCCTGATCTGAAAAATATACACTTTCCATCTGACTCGAACCTGATAATAAATTTTTAATTTAGAGATGGAAAAACATACTTAGAAGTTATGATTATTGAGAAAACATCTAAAGATCGATTTGTTGGAAGTACTCTATATATCGAATTGATTGAAATGACCAAAATACTTTTAAGACCTAAAAAAAAGGATGCCGCTTGATAAATTTTGGAAACATCGAAAAACCTAAGTGTGGCCTAAAGGTTATGGAGTACAACCTAAGTATACCGACCACCCTTATTACTATTACAATATCAGAAAGGAATATAATCAAAATACATGTTCGTCCCTTCGACATCCATTTAATGATGATTTTGATGGTGATTAGTTCAACTATTGTAGTAAGTATTAAGAAGTGAATATTCTGAAGGATATCGACCCGAATGATTGGTGAGTATCGTGATGTTGAGATATGTTTAATTTGCTTTGACTCGAAATCTTGATAATTCAATATAAAGCCTAAATTATGTAAATCGTAGTTTTACCTTTACTGCGTTAAACCACTAAGAATTCTTCAAGAAACGTAATGCTAAAAATGTCCTTAATGGACTAAGTAATGAAATCACTCTTGTTACATTCAAATCTTAAATAATTTTGGTGAAGGTGCATGAAATACCTTTCTACTACCCCCAAAATCCTAAATGCTCTCGAAGCATCAATTTCTGAATGCCTGATTATATCCATAATTGAACCCTTTTAGTAGGAACCTCATTTTTAAAATTTGATCAACCCGTAGAAGTTTGTGTTTCTATTCCTGATAATCATCGCGTGCCTCCAAAAAGATATTTGAATCCTCTAGTGTGTTCCTTATGCACATAACTATTTTATATGATTTTTAAAAATATTACTCTAATATTTGAAATAAAACATGGTTTTTGATATATAGTTTCTAATACTAGATACATCTGGCTCCCGATTCTGCTATTACTATTTACTGTTTAACATGTTTTATATTGGGGCACTACATGGGATTTGTTATGAAGTTCTACAGGTTCAACTCCGATCAAGCTGATAAATCCTTATGGACCTAAGGCGACCCTTGGGTGGGCTCTAGGGCCTAATGGGCCTAGTGCTAAG